ACTGACCGGTAGGTCCGTGGTTCGAACCCGACCTCTGCTTCTCGACTTCCCCTGGCTAGGCTTGGACAGTCGGGTAGTATCACAGCCCTCGTGCTTCCTTCGCGTGGCATGGCAGCTAGGCACCGAAAGGGTGTTGCAGTTGACTGATTACCTATCTAACCTCTGTTATAATAGGCTTCAACTTGACGCGTTGGACGAAGGCTGTTTCATGTCTCAATTTTTCCCTAAACGACATACCAGTTTCGCCTTCCTTGGACTACACTCACCCGATGAGTCCCAAGAAGGTCAAAGTAATCCGTTCAAGTGTTTTCAACAAACTCATAAGTAACGCTATGTCATTAAGAGATGAGATGTCTTAAATACCTTTCCAAATGCGTGGAGCGGCTTTTGTGCGATATATTCAGTCGAAACCTATTATAAACGAGACATTAAGATGACATTCGGTTGAGTCAGCCTTTAACGGCGGGTTAGTTTGCAAAATGGGCGCATATCTATATATATGTACAAATCGACGTCTGAGGAGGAAATAAAATTAATGTAGACTCGAGAACTGTGTGTGTCTAATGAGCCCCAAGAAAGGTTATCCAAGTGTTCTCATCAGACCTAAATGAAGAATTGTGTCAACAAGCAAGAAGTTTGGAAGTCCACGTGTATCGGAAAACAGATGGCACGGAGGAGCCGTTTCGTTCATTCACGTACTGGCTGTACATGACCAAAAGATGATCAAACCATGATTTGAGAGCTTGGAACGAAAACGCGGTCGCATTGGTAGTTGCTGCCTAGCTGGTGTGTTTGTGTGGGGAGAGGGCGTATTGTGGGTACATTAACGGTGGGGGTCGCATCAATTGTGCTCCTGTATAATCTATAATGCGAGTTTCCCGGCATTCTACCCAATAGCCAGAGAGGCCATCAAGACTATAATTCAACGATGCTTCATCAATTCAAGGATGTCATCATCCTCACCACAGATTACGAAAAGCATAAAACGAATGACATTTGATAAAACGAAGAAGACAAAGCAAAATGTCACAGAATGTTCTGCGTAATCCAAACAAAGCATCAAACAATTACGATTCAACAAGAAAAAAACACTTTCCATGCACCAGTGCAACACCCGCTTGTCGCCAGATGTTTACAGAATGCCTGCCATAACTTGCGCACGGGGAGTCGAATGTCGTTCAGGTGATACCCTGTCGGTGCCAAGCTGTTGTGAGGTGGCACGAGGGATGGGATGCTGTCAGGTTGCTCAAACCTAGACAGGAGTAGTCGAGACGGTGACCTTCCGGTCAGTGAGCTATCTCATGCCTGAAGCCTAACGTGGCTAACACCAGGTGGGGCGCTATTATGAGATTATCACCGTAGCTAAGAGGATAAAGACCACTGAGGTTATCAGGAAAAAAAACGAAAACAGTTGGAAACGTTCAGTCTTCCTATCTTTTCAGAGCATAGGTGTCACGCGAACTGAAGAAGGATTCTTACAGGTGCCTACCAGATGGTACTGATTAGGTAAGGCGGATCGATGGGACAGGAGCCTGGCCTGCACCAAGGGTTTCGACTCAATTCTGCATCTCTTCTGAAGTCCACCGGATAAAAATGTATCACAGGCATGGCTCATTTGACCAAACTTCATACACAACGACAACAGCAGCACAACACAGTCCTTTGTCGTCTGCGTAGAATTTATTCGATTAAGGTTCACATTCCAGTAAGCGAACCGATGCACGTGTACAGTCAATCAAAACAACGGTCGGTACATCGAATACAGCAAATTCCTTAGGAACAGCACAATAAATGACAAGAGCCGAAAAAATGACTACCTGAGATTCTTGACTGCGGTCAAAGATATTCGGTTGGCGCTCAACGGCAAAACCAGACGGCTGAAAACAAAGTGAACATGTGTAGAGGCGAGGTACTTCAGAAAATTTATTAAGTTTGTTGCATGCTGGAGTTTTACAAAATCGAACAAACTAGTAGTATGGTTTTGACATCTGGTCTGTCACCAGAAGCCATCCGAATAAAGGCGCTCAAGTCTATGTTTACTCCGGATGAATTCAGTAAAAACGACTGCGTTACTGTCCAAGAATAACGATAAGGATGTGAAAAAGACACAGAATAGAGAAAATCAAAGGTGTTCTAAACACCTGTGGTGCAGGTGCTAACACATGGCATTTTCAGGAACAGGCTGCGCATACGATACCAATTTGTTGCGTAAAATTCCAGTCAGTATGAAGAATCGAAAAGATAAAAAATCATATTAGAGTCGAACCCATTGACATAACTCACTCAGTGAACGGCAAGCTACAAATAGCACGTTAAATAAGAGAGCTACAGAAGACCTTTACTTACTGCAGAGCCAGTTCCGTTCTGATGAATGATCTCTGGGTTGATCAAGCCTTGCTTACAAAGCATGTTATATGCCTCCGTAAATTTCGGTTCAATATGCCCGTACTCCCTGTGCCATTCATACAGTAGCTTGGCACACTTTTGCTTCACGCTAGGCGTAGACTGCTCTCCAAGATACTGAAAGGTGAAAAAAGGGAGGTTGAAAACGGCTTAATCACACTGATGGCTTCATCACTGCGCGACTAGACGAACTAAAACTCTTTCTGCCCGATGATGCATCAACCTAATCCACTGAAAACTAAATATGTAGGTGGCATCCTGCGTAGAGCACAGTGCAAAAGACCACATCATGTCGATCGAAAGTGATGGAGCACAAATTTACAGTCATAAATGCTATGGATGCCAAGACCTACACAACTAACAATATTCTCATGCCACATCGGCCGTCGCGTGGTGCCATCAGCCGGGTCGCCTTATTTGCTGCATACAGCAGGGCGGGTAAGCGAAAACAGGCTACTGCTGA